AAGAAGAAGAAGAAGAAGAAGAAGAAGAAGAAGAAGAAGAAGAAGAAGAAAAACCTTGAATATGTTCAGTAATTGTATCGTTGGAAGTCTAATTTTATTTGATACTCATATGTATGTGGGGGGCAGGGGGAAGCAAATAAATAATTATGTCAGCATCATTAAGAGCCAGGATTTTTTTAGAGTTGGAGAAAGGAGAGACAATTAAGACGGTTCAGAAAAACTGCGTAAAATTGAATTGAATGGGAAATAGAAGTTCATAATGTATTTTCTCTTAAAAAAAAAAAGAAATCATACTTCTTAGATCCACTCACTGAAAAGTCCTAGAAACAACAACCAACCCAGGAACAATAAGTACCATCAGATAATGGTCTTCAAATAACATTTCCTACAAAAAGGCAACAGAATTTCTTATAGAAATAGCTAATTCCAGGTCTGGGCAGGAAATGTACAAAATAAGCCTAAAACATTTGTCTTAATATTAGGATACCAAGGAAGCCATCAGAAACTACTGGGGTTCTTTCAGAACACCAGCACTGGCCCAAACCCCTATGGGCCAAAGATGGGACAATTTAAGCATCAATAAGAATAATAGCTCCAATGGGTTAAAATGTATCCATGGTGTTTAAATCTGTGAAATCATGAAGGCACTCAACAAAATAGTAACTTTATTAATCACTTTTGGTAAATATTAGGGAACCAACTCTTTATTTTGAAAACTGGTGAATACATTATTAAAAAAAATTTTTTTTTCCAACGTTTATTTATTTTTGGGACAGAGAGAGACAGCATGAACAGGGGAGGGGCAGAGAGAGAGGGAGACACAGAATCAGAAACAGGCTCCAGGCTCTGAGCCGTCAGCACAGAGCCCGACGCAGGGCTCGAACTCACGGACCGCGAGATCGTGACCTGGCTGAAGTCGGACGCTTAACCGACTGCGCCACCCAGGCGCCCCTGGTGAATACATTATTTACAACAGTCAAATTACGGAAGCAGCCGAAGGGTCCATCGGTAGGTGAATGAGTACAGATGTTGTGGTATATATACACAATGGAATATTATTCAGCCATAAAAAAAGAATGAAATCTTCCCATTTGCAACAACATGGATAGAGCTGGAGAGTATAACGCCAAGCAAAATAAGTTAGTCAGAGAAAGACAAATATCATATGATCTCACTCATGTGAAATTTAAGAAATAAAGCAAACAAACAAAGAAAAAGAGAGAGAGAGAGAAACCAAAAAACAGAGTCTCAACTATAGAGAACAAACTGATGGTTAGCAAAGGGGAGGTTGGGTGGAAGGGAGAGGGGTGAAACAAGGGATGGAGATTAGAGTATACTTCTACTGATGAAAAATAAAATAAAATAAACTGATAAATAAAGGGGCAAAATTATTTATCCTGCCTGTCATATGTGAACTATACTTCACAATAACCAAAATTTTTAAAAAAAAAATTTTTTTTCAACGTTTATTTATTTTTGGGACAGAGAGAGACAGAGCATGAAGGGGGGAGGGGCAGAGAGAGAGGGAGACACAGAATCGGAAACAGGCTCCAGGCTCCGAGCCATCAGCCCAGAGCCCGATGCGGGGCTCGAACTCACGGACCGCGAGATCGTGACCTGGTTGAAGTCGGACGCTTAACCGACTGCGCCACCCAGGCGCCCCACAATAACCAAAATTTTAATGAGGAGATATTTCACTTTATAGAGGTTACAGAGCTAATAAATGAAAAATTAGTGACAGCCTTGAATTAAATGTCACGTTTTTTGCAGCCCTTAACAGAATAAAGGATCTAGGCAACCACCATCAAGGGCTGCTAACATCAATAAAAGAGAGGTAACTTGGGGCGCCTGGGTGACTCAGTCGCTTAGGCATCGGACTTCAGCTCAGGTCATGATCTCACGGGTCGTGAGTTCGAGCCCCGCGTCGGGCTCTGTGCTGACAGCTCAGAGCCTGGAGCCTGCTTCGGATTCTGTATCTCCCTTTCTCTCTGCCCCTCCCCTGCTCGCTCCCTCTCTCTCTCTCTCTCAAAAAGAAATAAACATTTTTTAAAAAATTTTTAATAGAAGAGAGATAACCAAATACCATGAGCCTCCTGATGGAAATAACACACCACCACTTAGGAGTTGTTCTTGCCCCAAAAAGCTGAACCTGAATCTGCTCAGGTCTCTAGTCTTAACAACCAATTCCCAAGAATAACACCATGGGATGCAATCAGAAAATCTGGACTCTGGAAACCCTACAGCGCAAACAACTCCGTTTCTTCCATAAACAACATGCAAGGGGGAGAGAAAGAGAGACAGACAGACAAACACACGCCAAGACCTACAGATTTAAAGAGACTTAAGAAATACCTCAGCCAATTGCAACATAGGATTCCTCTTTGGATTCTGATTTCAACTACCAGGGGGAAATAAATGTTGAACCAATATGTGATTCTGTTAAGGTCTAATTGCTACCTTGGAGCTTTGATAGCCATCGTGGGCATGTCTGCTTATGTCCTTACCATTTAGAGATACATACTGAAAAATTTACAGATGAAATAACATGTTGCCTTGGATTTGCTTCCAAATAACCTAGGGTCAAGGAGGAAAGTGGGAGGTGAGTATAAATGAAACAAGACTGGCCATGAGTTGATCATTGTTGACACTGGGTGATAAATACATGGACATTCGTTTTACTATTCTCTCCACTTTTGTACGGGTTTGAAATTTTTCATCATAGGGGCGCCTGGGTGGCGCAGTCGGTTAAGCGTCTGACTTCAGCCAGGTCACGATCTCGCGGTCCGTGAGTTCGAGCCCCGCGTCAGGCTCTGGGCTGATGGCTCGGAGCCTGGAGCCTGTTTCCGATTCTGTGTCTCCCTCTCTCTCTGCCCCTCCCCCGTTCATGCTCTGTCTCTCTCTGTCCCCAAAATAAATAAACGTTGAAAAAAAAATTTTAAAAAAAAAAGAAATTTTTCATCATAAAAACTTTCTAAAATAGACCCATAGAAAGCCAGAAAACTGCATTCCTTTGGTTGCCTCCCTAATCTCCACCCGTTGGTCTTTATGGTGTTCTCTGGAGCCTAGAAGACTAGTGTCATGATAATAATAGTAGGAATATCAACGATAATAGCCAGCATTTTGGGAGCACATAGTTACTAGGTGCCGACTCACACATTTTTTCTGAATATTTCCATGCAATCCTGACAAAATTCTAAAGTGAAAACTATTATTACTCCCATTTCGCAGGTGAGGAACCTGAGGGAGAGATCTTGGTTTGATGATAAAGCCAAGCCTCCAACCCAGTTCTGACTACAGATTTCCAGCTAATAACCACTGAACTACAGAAAGGCCAAAGCATGAGGCGGATGCCATGCCCTCAACCTTCCCTTTTGGGGGCTAAATCCTGAGTTCTTTCACTCTGTCCCCCCCCCCCCCCCACCCCTGCCAACAAGGCTCCATTGCCCCTCCCCTCCATCATCCTGGGGACATGTGTCTAGAGCTATAAATCAGTGGAGTTTCATGAGAGTATCCCAGCCTGCTGTACAGCTTGCCTTTCCCCAGCATCCCTGCGGAGATTCCCAATGGTTGGTCCTCCCTCCCTCCAGACTGGAAGCCAGAACATGTCCAGGGTGGCGTGGCTTACCTGGGCCACGGTGCCTCTTCTCCATCCAGATGTAGCAGTTGTTCTGGGCCACACCGGTCTGCGAGTCCAGGAAAGGGAGACGCACGCTGCGCTCTGCGCACAGCCTCGAGTTATAGCTTCGGCAGTGCTCGATGGCCTCCTTGTAGAACTGGTCCCCGAGTCTATCAGCAGGGGAGAGAGACGGAGGAGGAATGAGGCCAGGGAAAACAGAAACACACCCAGAGGATAAGTGATGGTACCCACCTACCTCCCCGGGAAGATTTTGCGTATCTGGAGACCAAGGGTGGGGAGGAATCCAACTTGGTGTCAGGTCTCAACCAGGTTCTATTTCCCATGCCAAAATCACCAGGGAATTTAGAATCCCCTGTAACCAAGAGCCTAGGGCCCCTAGATAAACCACTAGTAAAAGTAACAAGTTCCCACTCCAGGAAGCGTGAGGTCCCACCTCTAGAGGTGGTTCTAGAACAATCTTCTACATGAGATCTACCAGGACCTCAGGCTTCTAGAGCCCCCTTATTAAGGTCCTACATTAACCACACTTTGTTCTCAGTAATTGCCAGCAAAGGCACTCTAGAGTGAACCCAAACCCCAAAGCATGGATGCACAGATTTCCATTGCAATCAGAGAGAAACACCCCACATAAACACAGACCAGCAGGACAGAGGAAATATCCCATAAAAGTAAAGCTATCATGGGGAAAGGAGGCGAAAAGGGGCACGAACCAGTCTTTTAAAACCACACACTTAAAAAATAACTTCTGGGGCGCCTGGGTGGTTCAGTCGGATAGACGTCCGACTTCAGCTCAGGTCATGATCTCGTGTTCCGTAAGTTCGAGCCCCGCAACAGGCTCTGTGCTGACAGCTTGGAGCCTGAAGCCTCCTTCAGATTCTGTGTCTCCCTCTCTCTCTTCCCCTCCCATGCTCACTCTCTGTCTCTCTCATTCTTAAAAATAAATAAACATAAAATTTTTTTTAAAAATAAATAATAAAGAAAATAAAAAATAAAGAAAATAAAAATAGAAAAATAAAGAAAAAATAACTTCCTAACTGAAAGTAAAGGAAGGATGTATAATAGTTGCATTTTGAAGTCAAGATAATTCAATCCCTGAAATCTAAAACACAAAGAGAAAGACCTTTCTGGTTTGTTGGAGTGGTGATCTAAGCCCAGCAAATTTTATGTTACTGAATCTTTAGTATCCTTGGACATGTGGTGATGCTGCTAATTTTAAGATAATACCCTTTTCAAAGACAAAAAATATAACATTGGTAAAACTGATCAAATATAAAAAAAAAAAAAATCAGTGAGATCAAATACCTACCAAATCAAAGACAGGCACATGTGGGAGGTTAATAAATGGCTCAAGGAAATACAAATGTAATAACATAACCTTGCCAGGTAGACTTGTACTTCTTTGTGGGGAGGGGAGAGAAAGGCAGGAAGGGGGGAGCCAGAGGGATTACAGGGCCAGAAGAGAGAACCAGGTAGCTCATTTTGAAGAAACATTATGAATGTCCCTTTGTTTTGGTTCTACATAGATTTGAAGAGGCCAAAATCGGGGTGAGAAAGTCTCTAAGTTGAGAATAGTATATTTCTTAACAAAAATATTTAGAGGACTAAAGAAAGCAAAATTTTAGAGAGATTTTTCTATAGTGTTTTTTTAAAAAGTCAGTGGGTCAGGGTCCACCAAGAGTTTAAAGCAAATTTCTTATTCTGGGAAGATACAACCATTGAAGCTTCTGAGGCATCTCTTGGAAATTACTTATTTGACATAACTCCTAAAAAAAAAAAAAGTCCCCTTGCTCCTTTTCCCCCTCTGAACATCTTCAGTTTCACAAGGAAGGCATAATGTGCTCAGAAAGTATCCTAGCAGTTGCAAAACCAAACTGTAATCAAATTATAATAGCCACACAGCTGGAAATGAATGGGGGGGGGGGTGGAAGCCCATTAAAATGCTATAAAACAGAACATGAGCTGATGTAATCAAAGATGGTAACAAGGATCATGAGATTGATCAAAAATAAAGAACCATTTCCTACAAAGCGTTCACATCTGTGTCCCACCAGCTTAAATGCCTCCACTGCTAAGGCGACATAGTCCAGTGTGCCAGAACTTTCACAGGCAGCTCAGCCCAGGTAAGATGACACACAGCCTGTCCAGAGTGTCCTAGATGCTCCAGCTTCTTCATGAAACAGCAACCAACCAACCAGTTGATGAGCAACAGCAATCAGTTGATGAGAACTGACAAGAACACATAACAGAGAGGTGTCCGATGTGAGAAACAGTAATCTGGTTTCCCACGATCTTTTGACAGATGGCCAAAATAGATGTTAACTATTCCAACTCCAAAAATTCTGCTGTAGGAGAAGCCATAAGAAAAAGGAAGATGGCACACTACAACTCATCAGCTGGCGACAGGAAGGTTTCCGTTTTCAAAACAAACTCTGGAAGCCAATAGAAAAGGAAACTACAGAGGGATCTCAAATTAGACTTTTCCCGATACGCTCATTACTGGCTTCCAACAACTCCAATCCCAAAGAGAGGAACAAGAAAATGAAGTTGCTGGAAGGGAAAGTGAGTTTGGCCAAGTCCGTGCCCCACACCAAATGGAACGAGAAAGTCAAACAAAGTGGTGCGCTGGGTGAAAATTAATTTCATCTTAAATATTTTCCACTTTCCGTAACATGCAATGCTATTAGTAACAGGCATGCTGAGGGAGAATGTGTATTTTTAAATGTAATCTTGGTGTGAACGATACCTCTCTTATGTAAACAGAAAAAAAAAACCTTCTTCGGACTGGAACAACTGTATTACAGGCTGGACCTGCAAAAATGTGACATCTAACACCCTCTCTGCCACTGTCTCCAGGGAACTCACTTTTAAACAGTCCAGGCATTGGCAGAGATTTGGAAACAAAAGTTTAAAGCCTTTTTCAAGATGTGGGAGGAGAAGAGAGACTTCAACCTTTTTGATAAATTCAAGCAGTGCCTCTCCAAAAGTTAATTAGCCAAAATCTTCACAGGGCTCGTTCTGCTCTCTAGAAGAAAATCGATGGCCAGGTCTCCCTAACCCGTGGAAAGCAATTTAAACAGGAGAGAGGACAAATGTCCTTTTCAATATGGGATTTCTTAAAAAAAAAAAAAAAAAAAAAATCCCTCGATGATAGGATCCCAGGGGTGACATTTGCATTCAAGTTGTGAGGGGCAGAGGGAGCAGGGAAAGGCTGGCAAGGGAATGACTCATTTTGTGGAGCGTGCCCCAGGCTGGGTCAGACACAGCCCAGCCTCAGCCATCACCTGTCTGCATCAAACCAAGGGGGCCGGATTGCCACGGGATGATAGATGTCTTGGGCTGGAAGAGGCTGGCACAAGGCAGAATAGAATGATGTTCTCATCAACAGCCTACTTCGGGCTACCCAAGGCTGCAATCAGAAGCAGGAAAGGCAAGAGGAACAAATTGCTAGGCTCTCCGCCAGAGCAGGAGCCCCCCATGGCCTATGGCTTGAAGGAGTGCTGACTGCCCAGTTCCGGGGGCCGCTGGGAGGGGGGAGACCCCTTAGCGATCACATCTGGAGTGAGGGAGCTTCAGCCCTCAGAGCTTTCCAGTGACCCTCCTTGAGCATATCTGTGGAAAACTTGATTCCAGGGAACCAATCAGGATTCAGAGGGGTCAAAATAAGACTTCTCCAAAATAACTGTCAACCAGGCTCCAAATGTGATTTTCAGAGCCCATCACAGACCCTCTGCTCCTTTTCTTCCTCATGCCTCCACCTTTGTCTCTCTCTCTCAAGACCGTGCCCGTTCTCTTAGATTCCGTGTCCACTGTCCTGAGCTGACTCCTAAGTCCAACCGTCCAACGCAGATACCTGGGGCCCCTCCCTCTTCACTGTCCCTCTGCTCCTGTGTTCTGACCCAAGAACAGGTGTCCTGTCATACCCCAAACACGTGTCCAAAAGCACATTCCTCATCTCCTGTCAGAAGCCTGCTCCCTCCCCAGAGTCGCCATTCTTCTGGGTTGGGAGGGTGTGTGGGGAGACGGCAGTGAGAGAACACTGCTCTTCTCTCCCTAGCAAGGTGTCCTTGGCCTTCCCCTTTCCTTCATCTCATCTGGCACTGGGTTCTTGCATTTCTCAGGGTGTCACCCTCTTTCCATCCCTGATGCCGTCCACCAGTCCCCTTTGACAGTAAAAACAGGACCTTGGCCCATCATTGCTATTTGTGCACATAAACAGAGATAAGCAGAGATAACAAGAAGCCTTAGCCTGTGGCAGGATTTCTGGCCCCTCCTTCCCCCCATCGGCCCCTCCTGTTCTCTGTGGGCACCTGGATTTCCTGCTGTCTCACCCAGCTGCCCACACTGCCACCACCACCCACAAATACACATTAAGACGCATCTACACCGATATGCTAACTTCCTCCTGTTTGCACTTAAATATATTTAACTCTAACTGCACCGCAGAAAGCCGGTTCCCATTTACATAGCATTTTATAACTAGCAAGCAGGGGGCAATATTTGGCAAGGTGGAGGAACCTTTTCATTTTCCTCAGAGTTACACTCTTCCTAAAGCTGCCCTTCAAAGAAAGCCAGGGTTAGGGTTTACTGCGGACTGAACTGTTTCCCCTGAAATCCATGTGTTGAAGCCCTAACACCCACCCCCCCTCCACACACACACACACACACACACACACACACACAATGTTCTAGTATCTGGATACAGGGCCTTGGGGAGGTAATTAGGTCGTGAGGACAGCGTCCTCATGATAGGATTAGTGCCCCTATATAAGAAGGGACAGGAGAAAGACCTCTCTCTTCCTCTTTCTCTCTCTGCCATGTGAGCACACAGCAAGAATACACCCTTATCGGGGCGCCTGGGTGGCGCAGTCGGTTAAGCGTCCGACTTCAGCCAGGTCACGATCTCACGGTCCGTGAGTTCGAGCCCCGCGTCGGGCTCTGGGCTGATGACTCAGAGCCTGGAGCCTGTTTCCGATTCTGTGTCTCCCTCTCTCTCTGCCCCTCCCCCGTTCATGCTCTGTCTCTCTCTGTCCCAAAAAATAAATAAACGTTGAAAAAAAAATTAAAAAAAAAAAAAAAAGAATACACCCTTATCTCAGACTTCCCGGCCTCCAGAACTGTGGAAAATAAGTATCTGTTGTTTAAGCCACTC